TGCTGTATTCTAGGAACCAGACAGATGATTTGGCAAAGCTCTTCTCAGTTCTACGCAGCTTTTTGTATTTTTGCTTCACCCCCTCCCCGCCCCGCCCGCCCTTTCTCAAGTGCATTAAATTAAATGCATATTGTCTAAATAAGTGGCGCGTTGTGTCAATGGCTGAGCTGGAGGAGATCCGCCCGCCCCTCGAGTGCGAGAGGTGGCTCTGTTCTGCTACTCTATCACTGTTTAATAAAGGAGATTACTGTGCTCTCATGGAGCGCCACGGAACGTCTGGGGCTTGCTGATGGGGAGGGGAAAAGCGGGTATCTTTTTCTCCCTGAGCAATCCTTTCGCTCAATCCGAAGATGACACCATGTCAGGCGTGGAAAAAGGAGTTTCTCATCCCCGACGGCCACCGGGGAGTCAGAGGAGAGGAAAGCACCCTTCATGAGAAATGGGCACTGCAGAGCACAGCTGGTCTAGGTCGTGGGCAAGAATGAGTGTGTGTGTTAGAAAGTCTGCCTCAATCTGCGAGTGGTCGTGTCTGCTACCAATTGCACACAGCCTTGTCCTCAAGCCCACCCTGGCAGCCTTGGAAAAATATTCTGGGGCTTCTCACCTCACCTGCAGAGAGCTGCGCTCGCCGGCTTTTAACCTCGCTGGATCAGAGAGGTTGAGCAAGTCAGGGGATTTCTGGCTCTCGCAGGACGAGTCCAGCAATCACTGTGGTGCTGCTCCCTTCCCTTCCCCGCCAGGCTCTCCAGCAGTCAGCACGCCTGTGGTGGTTTTTTTTGGTTTTGTTGGTTTGGGTTGTTTTTGGGGTTTTTTGTTGAATTATTTTGTTGAACTATTTTTTCCACCCTGGGAAGACTGGGGAGGTTAAACTCCCCGTCTGAACCGAAGCCCTGGACGAGTGCAACTGAGGTTATAGAAATCCGGGAGAGGAAATTACGAAAATGCTTTATTGTGAATATAACAAGAGGGAGGAGGGAGAGGCGGAACTTTACAGAGGTGAAGGATGGGAAGTTTGCGGAGCTGAGGATTTAGTCCTTCTCCGAGCGCCGGGCGCCAGTTTAGTCATTATTTCCCTATGCCTCCCCGAGGCTGCAAGGGCACCTCCTCCCCAAAGAGGTGAACCCGTCCCACTTGCTGGCTTTTGTTTAGCTCCTGAGTGGCTTCTGGGGGGAGCCCGGTCACACACCCGCCCGCAGCCCCTGGCCCTATTCCCCGCCCGGGAATTACGTGCCAAACCTGGAAAAGGGATTTTTCTTTCTAGCCAAGCGCCCAAGTCAACTTCCTCGTAGGAAAGCTGATTTATGCCTGTTTATACGTATGGAAAAAGGAGGCAGAAGCCAAGCGCGGCATCCCTCCAAAATCTCATTGTCTTTGAAGCGGGAAGACGGGAGAAAGTGGAGTCAGAAAATCTAAAATTATAAAGTTTGCCTTGTCGTGGCAGAGAAGGCTTGGCCAGAAGGGCAAACACGGGGTTTTGCCTCATCTCTCTGCAGCTGAAGCCTTTCCCGGGTCACACAAAACGAACGGCTTCCTCTGCGTACCCCGGCTAGAGAAACAGGCGGCGGCCGCAAGCTGCTCTCCTTGGCTGGGGGCCCTGCCGCCACCGAGGCCCCGGCAGGTGACAGCTCCACAAAGGTGTGAGGTTTTCCCCTCTCCCTGACACCGGGCCAGCCGTTCCCGTGGGCGCTCCGTGAGTAGAGTGATGTTCGGCGCAGGCTTGGAATCGCACCTAAAGCTCCGCCGGCCCACACTCTAGTCCAGCCTCATCCCTTCTCACCCCTCTGAGGCCAGGGGACACCGGGAGCTGGCCGAGCCGGAGTGGGGAGATGCTGCAGGTGGTGGCGGGTCCCTCCCGGGTGAGCATCTTCCGTTGCATCCTGAAGGGAAGGTTTAAATCCCAAGTGAGGGATCTTTTCTTCCCATCGTGCCAGGGGGGAGGGCTCAGGCTTGCGGTGAGGCTTGGGACCAGGAGTTTGCTCACGGGTACGTGAGTTTCCTCATTTGTGCACATGGCAGGTGACAAAGCACTGCACCGCTGTTTGCAGATGACACCTTTCGGGGGGGGGGGGGG